GAGGACGAGGCGCTCGAGCAGCTGGTCGGCTCGGCAGGCGTCACGGTGACCCTGGTGGACGGCGACGAGGTGTTGACGTCCACCGTCCAGCTGGGCGGCAGCGGGGAGGAGGGCTCTGACGAGTCCTGGGCGCTGAGGGACCTGCTGCTTCTGGCGCTGCGGGGCCAGGGGAAGGAGGAAGAGGTGAGTGGCCACCGGACGCTTATATGTTGCTCCACTTCTGTTCTACCGTCCTCCCTTATTCCTGTTGTTTAATCCCTTTAATTCCCCTTCTACAGGTCGCTGCGCCACCCGGCGCGCCGCCCACAGAGTGTGTGGTCCTAGGACTCGGCGACGCTCTCTTCGACGTGGACCCCAATGACGCCAAGTACGCCCCGTTCGACACTTACGCCGACCCTGAGGAGTGCGGATATGGCATCGGGTGGGACGACGAACTGGCCGTCGTGACCGAGAAGAAGACTCACGAGGAAGTCTCTGATCTCGGATGTGGCCTCTTTGGCTATGACTTGACCGAGGACGCGGACATGGATACAGGCATGGCTGCTTTGGAGGACGAGGACCCGGAGGAGTACTGTGCCCTGGACGTCGACCTCCCCACCGAACCGAACCTGGACAAGCTGAAGCAGGTATGTAAAGGGTTGCGACGGGCCTGGATCGAGGAGCGATGCACTCACTCAGCCTTTGCCTCTTCCAGGTGCGCAAGATCACGGCGCTGAACTGCCTCGACCCCGGCGGTATGGAGGCCCTAAGGGAGGTGGCCCCTTACCTGGAGGAGCTGGAGGTGAGGAACCTGAGGCGCAAGCACCTTGTGGAGATCCAGGGGCTGGCCAGGCTGCGGCGCCTGGAGGTCAGGGCGCCGGACATGTGGACCGACCCGTTCCTGGTGCCGCCCCTGGAGCACGACGGCGGCCTCGAGTTCCTCCGCGTGTGCCTGTCCGCGCCCACGGCCGGCTCCCTTATCTACGCCCACAACCGCACCCTGCGCCACGTCCAGGTACTGTCGCCGCCGCGGCGCAGGCGGCAGGGCTCGCTCCACAGCATCTACTTCGAGACCCTGGACTACCACCTGGGCGGCCACGTCTCGGAGCACGTCCGGCGGAGCCCGTACTTCCCCCGGTGCGAGCCCGGCGACTTCCCCGTGCTGAGGCGCGTCGAGTTCATCGAGGAGCCTCGGTCGCCCTACGTCATAAACCCTAGCTGGATCGTGGGGAAGGACATGGACAGGATCGAGAGAATGCTCCCACCAGGCGTCTCTGTAGAGCTGGTCTTCAAACCCAAACGGCTTGGCTAAGTCCATTCCTTCTGCGTGTGTGGTTATTTGATGCGAGAATTTAAAATCATTTATCTTTGAGGGAAATATATATTGAGTTGACACAAATGTATAGGGCCGTTGACAATTTTATTTCAGTCATCAAAATTATCCGTTCTGTCACAAGCCAGGCAAACTATTTTTAGCCCTGGGAACCTCTTACGAAGTGCAACCATGACTCCAGCACAGTTGTCACTACCACAGTATCTGCTCATGTACAACAACATTTTAAGATTTGGTAGTTCCAGGTCTCCAAAAAAACTGACTGCATGGGCATGGTATTCGGGCAAAGGCACACACAGAATCTGAACAGATGCTTGAAACTTCTTCACAATAAATTTGCAAAGCCTGTCTTCATAGTTTCTATTGAAAACATTCGCCCAGAGAAATTCTACCTTGCTTTGATGTTGCAAAGTTATTTTAGGGAGTTCATCATCTTTCATATTGGGGATTTTAGTGTCCTCCAAAACAAGCCAACGGAGTTCAGGCATGGCCAACACTGCTTCTAGATGTTCAAGATGAAAGTTATAGAGATGGACCTCCTCAAGGACAGGAGCAAGACGCTGCAGTAGCTGGTGGGTCCACTTTTTATCTCCGTCACAGTACAATCCAATAAGTCTCCGAATTTTTAACAACTGATCTTCTGACATAAGCTTCTCTTTCTCTGTGGTGTATCTTGTTTGGTCTTTGCCTGAAGTGATATTATTCAAATCCAGCACACATTCTGGATCAACTTTTGGTTTTTGTATAGGTTTCTTAACTTCTGCAGTCAAAATGACCTCCTTAAAAACAAGGCGCATTGTTAAAAATGAAGCAGATTTACAGTCAACACAATAATTGGGCTAAGAGTTACCTGTGGCAATATTCCTTTCTGTCTCAACAAAAATAGAATACTTCGGAAAATTTTTGCATTATCATCGTCATCCTTTCCGCATCCCTGTGGCAGTTCTGCTAGCCACCTTGTATTGCCTCCCCTCAGTAGAATGTTTGTTGGTGTCGTCTGTCCCGACATCATTTGGATTGCTTCAGCAACCTCGACCTGGAAATCAAATTTTAGAATGACATCAACATATAAACACAAAAGTGTTCTTTAGCAGCAGTACATCACTACAGACCTCAGTAAGACTTTCTACAAATTTCTGGCTATTCTGTGGGTGAAATGGACTGTGTGTTAAGTTTAACTTTTGCACAAGTTGCTCAAACAAGAATTGTTTTCTGCTAGAAATCTTGTGTTTTTCAATAATACATTTTTCTTCTGCTGGTTTGTTGCAGTCACGACAGAAAACATGCACATAACTACCACTAAAACATAAAATCATTTTTTGAAAACAATGGCTTTGATAAGTTAACCAGTTAACTATAAAGAGTAATGAGGAAAAATGGATCAATTTACCTTGTGGAGTTTATATTGGAACGAAGCATTGCCATACTATTGTGATGATCTGGTAGCTCAATGGGGAGGAGGGTGAATTCCTGAATGTGATAATTTGGGGCATTAAAAGAAGTCATCAATGAGTAGTGAGGTTGTCAGCGTTTGTTTGAATATTGCATGGGCATACCTTTTTATCAATGAAACACCTGTCCACAGTTTCTAGGCACTTGAGGCAGAAAGCATGGCCACATGGTAGTGCTTTGGGCCTTCGTCCTAGTTCATCAAATCTCTCAAAACACTCCGGGCATTCCATCTGAAAGAAATTGACAGGTCAGTCCTTTTGGTTTATGACATTTATAAGAGTTGTCACAGCCTGAATAACAGTTCAGGTACAATTTCTCACAGGATATATTATTGTTCTTTCACTCACGTTAAGTCCTGTGACTTTCCTGATGTCCATTTTCCTGAGCTGTGTCCGCTGGTACGATTCCTGAGTAGACACTTAGGTCCTGGTTGCACCACTTGCCTCGACTCGAGCGACCTCGAGCCGACTGCGTTCCGTCGTGTGAATAGTCAGCCGCCGCTGGCCAGCTGAATCCCGCCTATAGCCAGACCAGCCTAAGGTCCGTCTTTTCCTCACCCCCTCTCGCCTCCTATGCTGCCCGTGCTGTGAAAAGACGGACCTTACATTAGGCTGGTCTCACTAGACATGTACAGGATAACTGATCAGCTCACCAATCACCATGATGATGAAGATGCTGCAATGGGGGTGAGGAAAATCGAGCGAGACATTAGGCTGGTCTCACTATAGCAGGGAAAGCAAGGGAAGGGCAGGGCAATAAGCGACAGCGGACGGCCCGATCAATCTAATCTGACAGCAAGGGTCTGTGTACTAGGTAACACTACTAACTGGACCGATCCTTTAATTTTCTCTGCTTCTCAATTCCTAACAATTATATATGTTTTTCTGAAACTTGGTGCTACATTACTCTTCTATAGGTAGTTAAACTGGCAGATAAGATATGTCCTTGCGTGGATTTTCAGCTTATTTTTTAACTCAATTGGTGTAAGCATGAGTTGAAATCAATTTACCCACCTTGTTGCACTCCTTCTGAAATTCCCTCTGTTGACGCTGAAATTTGACGCTTTGCGAGCTCGCTATACGTTATTGTGCAATCACTGCGTGTTTGGGATGGGTGGGTCGGTGGTGCCGGGTGCCGGGCATGGTACTGCCGCCGTCAAGGGGCGCCAGCGCCGCCGCCACCTTCCCGCCGGCGGTTTCAAACGAGTCCAAACCGAGGAACGTCTGCGTACGTGCTGACAGTGTCGTGGACATGATTTCGTCTTGCAGACATGGAGTGCTCCCGGTGCGAGCAGCGGTACGACCAAGAGGCCCGCCAGCCGAAGCTTTTGCCGTGCGGCCACACCTTCTGCCTGTCCTGTCTGCAAGAGGCGGGCCAGTGCTTCAGCGACGGCAAGGTGGGTGAAGGCTAGGATGTGACACATTCTCCAGGGCGCAAGTGTCTTGGTTCTGGCGGGCGCCTGCAACGCGTCGGGTAGGCCGGCCCGGCGAGCAGCTGTGCGGAGCCGGCGGCCCGCCTGGAGCGCGGGCAGGCGCTCAGGGTGCAAACCACCTTCTCTGGGGGCCGCAACGCCTCTTCGTTGAACTCTCTCGCTCCCTGCAGGCGTTCCCCGGCGTCGACTGCCTCCCGGACGACCTGTACACCCTCAACCTGGTGCCGGGCGACATCCGCCGGCACCCGGACGACCCCGGCCCCGGTGCGCTCCAGCTGTGGTGCCGGGGGTGCTCGGCGGCGGCCTCGGACTGCTGCGTGGACGACGG